TATATAGATATATATATATATATATATATATATATATATATATAAAACTATTACGAATATATAATAAATAAACGAAATCGTATTTGCAATTAATTTTACATGTAAAAATTGATACCAGCGAATTTTAAAGATACATTATCCCCGTTATTTATTCCATTATTTTGTTTGCTCACCGACCATGATCTCTTTTGTTACAGACGGGGGATGGCGTAGGGGTGTCGAGTAGCGGAGGTCGGCTCTCCTCGAGGAGTCGAACCTCCGAAGAACCTCATATCGGCAAGTACAAATTACTGAAGACCATTGGCAAAGGCAACTTTGCCAAAGTGAAGCTTGCTAAACATGTACCCACGGGGAAAGAAGTAGCCATCAAGATCATCGATAAGACTCAATTAAATCCCGGTAGTCTTCAGAAGGTAACATTATATTATATTTTTGTTTTTTAAACTTAACTGTAACTTAAATTACTTGACTTAAATAAAAAAGTAGAAATTATAACATTGATCATTAGTTGAAATTTATTGATGTGATATACAATTGGCTAATTTAACTTAAAGACCAATATTGACTCATTTTGTGTGCTAATATGTTTGTAAGAACTAAGTTAAGAAGAACTCTCATTGCTTGAGTCACATCACATTATCATAATTTGGTAGAAAAAAACTTCAAATTACACATACATCTCAGAAATGTAAATTGTGATTCATGCTGATGCGTCTGGGTAATTACAGCTGTTCCGAGAAGTCAGGATAATGAAGATGCTCGACCATCCAAACATAGTGAAATTGTTCCAAGTGATCGAGACTGAAAAGACACTGTACCTGGTAATGGAGTATGCCAGCGGCGGCGAGGTTTTTGACTACCTGGTCCTGCACGGGCGTATGAAGGAGAAAGAAGCAAGAGCGAAGTTCAGGCAGATAGTTTCTGCTGTGCAATACTGCCATCAAAAGAAGATCATTCACAGAGACTTAAAAGCCGAAAATCTGTTGCTCGATAGTGAAATGAATATCAAGATTGCCGATTTCGGTTTTAGCAATGAATTTACACCCGGTAACAAATTAGACACGTTTTGTGGTTCGCCACCGTACGCCGCGCCGGAACTTTTTCAAGGTATTCTCTCAGAGTGATTCATTCGCATTTGCATGCGAGCTTGAAATTGATTTGCATGATTTTTTTTTTTATTTGTAGGAAAGAAATACGACGGTCCGGAAGTGGATGTGTGGTCGTTAGGTGTAATTCTGTACACATTGGTATCCGGCTCACTGCCTTTCGATGGTTCGACGTTGAGGGAATTGAGGGAGAGAGTCTTAAGAGGGAAATATAGGATTCCGTTTTATATGTCCACCGACTGCGAAAATCTTCTCAAGAAATTTTTGGTGCTCAATCCAACGAAAAGAGCCTCATTAGAGGTATGTGGGGATCAGGTTCGAATTGTATTTTATTCTTTTGAATTCTTTTTACCCTTTCAAGATAATTGATATTTTATCAAAACGTTTGTATAATATTTAATCACGAATAAGTCATGTACAAGATAAAAAAAATTTAACAATTTTCATTGCTACAGAACATAATGAAGGATAAGTGGATGAATATGGGATACGAGGACGACGAATTAAAGCCGTACTTAGAGCCTGAACCAGATTACAGAGATCACAAGAGGATAGGTGAGTCTGCCAGTATGTACATAACACTTACTACTTACCGTTTTTATGTTTAATGTCACACCCGTTGTGAACATTTTATACAATGCGAGATCAGTGACAAAGATCAACTTCTTCTCGGTATATGTATGTATGTATGTGCTCTTGAACTGTATATTATGATCTCATAATTGTTTTAGTATGATGAATTTTTTTGTTACATAGTAGTTACATATTTTATTTAAAGATAATGTTCACATGATCGGGTGTCTCTTGTAGTTGAAAAATGCAATGTAATCATTATTAATATATTATTAAAATATATCAGACAGTCTTATTCAATATATTTCTGTTAGAAAATTGAATACAAAATTTAAGGATACGTACAATTTGAGATAACGTTTTATTAAATTATATCAAAGAAGAGATTTGTAAATGTACATTTTATATGTACCATGAAAATTTCATAATTTATTTTTATCTTTAATCTTATTTAGTCTGATATATTTATATCTGTGTGTATGTTTGTAATATGCTTCTAGAAAAATTTTTTTATTGCATGTCTTAATAGAAAAATAAAATTTCATTAACCAATGCTAAAAAATGTTAAAAATGAACTAAAACTATTTTTTAATGAACGAATGTTAAAATATGGACATATATATCATAAAGACGATAAGTTTAATCTTGAATAATTTATTATACACATATTTTGATATATATATATATATAATGTATATATATATATATATATATATATATATATATATATATTAACTAGTATCTGTGTTATAATATGTAGAAAAGATTTTTTATTTTATTTTTGCATCTTTTTGATTTATGAATATTGTCAAAAAATTATTCTGTACATCTAATAGATATGACTATGCCGCCACGCATTTTAATTTCAGAGGCCCTAGCCAGTCTGGGATACACTCGAAGTGAAATAGAAGATTCTTTAGGACAAGCGAAATATGACGATGTATTCGCCACTTACTTGCTCTTAGGCAGAAAAACGACAGATGTAAGTACACAATATATTGAAATTAATATATAATGTAATGTATATGGTTATATATAAAAATTGTCTATATTTTTCATGAATTTCTATTTGTACAGCCTGAAAGTGATGGATCACGATCAGGTAGTTCATTGTCGCTGCGTAACATTCCACCTCAAGTCAGTTCAGGTGGTGGAGGAGGAAGCAGCGGAGGAACAGGTGGCGCAGTACAGAGTCCATCTCACAGAGGTGTTCACAGAAGCATTTCTGCTAGCAATCCAAAACCCAGTAGACGGGCCTCGTCTGGTGGTGAAACTCTTCGTAAGTGTTATATCCGTTCGTTTTAATCATAATTTTTAAAATGCAATACGGCACTCTAAACTTTACCGTTAGATAACAAGCATGGATAAGGATATTTATCAAACTTGGGTAAGACCAGACATCTGTATACCTTGTGATTGAAAATTGTGAATTTCACGCAACAATTTTTGTATTTTTTGTTTATTTTTATCGGAAGAAAATAGTAGCTATTAGTTAGTAATATGTAATCACATCATTAAAAAAACTTAATTTGCATTTTAATATAAATATGTTGTATGGAATGTTGAGATATGGTGACAAAAGGCAGGATTGTTTATTGTATATATTTGTACAAATTATTACTATCAATATTGATTAAAGATTTTATTACATATTTTTTTTTCTTATTAGGACCTAGTCCAGGTAATGCAACGAATCACAATCATGCAACTGCGGTAACTGGTGGCGCAACTGTGACTGGAAGCGGTGGTAGTAATTTTAAACGACAAAATACTGTGGACGCAGCCACGATCAAGGAAAATAGTGCTCGTGTTTCTGCAAGTCGGCCCTCTGCTAAAAACAGTCAATCGCCTGCGCAAATAGATACTAGTGAGTTTTTACATTTTGTTCTTTATGTCTATTTTATGAGAAGACTCTTTCAATAGACATTATTTGTCTATGCCATGTTTTCTTCGTGATGCTTTAGCAAAGGTACTTCTTTGGATAAGGTTGCTTTGGATAAGGTTGCACTGGTTTAATAACCAATGTAAATTTCATCAAATTTACAATTTGTGATTTTATCTGTTATTTTTATGTTATTTGTATTATTTATATTACACTGTATTCATAAATCATAAATTTTGTCACGTACAATTTATGTATTAGTATACAATCATCTGTTGAAGGCTCTGGTCATACGTATGTTAATGTCGAATTGTCATACCTGTTTCTTATGTGTTTGTAAAATTAAATGCAAAATCATAGTATCCTAATTTTATATCATGAACATATATCCCTAAAATCATTTATCATTGTCCTTACAATGTGTTGACTGATACAAGAAAGTCATAGTTCACTTTATGTTTTCTTCTCTATATGGAAGCAGGTTAGACATGGAGGCTCATAATTTTTTCATGATTTGTTATCATATTTGTTATAATTTAAAGTATGTTGCTTTTTGTTTTGTGTTGAACCGTATCTAATGAGGCTTGCAGTGACGATGTTCATTCTAGGCGTGGGTACAAGTCCTGGTGGTAAAACACGGGTAGGCAAGAGCAACACAATGAACGCAGGGGTAGGTGGTGGTCGGCCTCTTACCTCACCTGCTCCTGGTTCTGTTGGTCGACGTAGTACCATCTCCTATGATCAAGCGAAAACATCATCATCATCTACTGAAAGAACCAACGAAGTATCCAGGTATAGTGATATCCAATTATTTTTACCTGAAATATACAATCTGTTTATAAAACAGAACACAAATATAAATAAAATTAAATCTAGTGTTACAAGATTCTTCATTATATTTTTCTAGTATTATATATATATATATATATATAATATTAGAGAGATATATATATTACTTTTCGATAAATACTTAATATAAAGGATATTGGATGTGTATTTATTTTAGTCTTGTACACGATAGAAATTATAATAAATTCAATATATATAATTTATATTCACAAATTAAATTATAGTCCAATATCTCATTATCTATATGATTATATATATAAAATAAGAAGATTAGTGCATCTCGTGTTACGTTTTCTATCGACTTAACACTTTTACTTTCACTAACTGTAGACAACTGATTACTTATGTGTGTAAAGTACACTAGACTTTCAGTACACTTTCAAGAAACGATTTTTGATAAGCGAGTTGATAATAACAAAGTCTATCATTAAGAGCCCCGGGGAGTTTGTTTGTTGCATTGCTCTAGCATGTTGGCTGCTGCCTGCCAATCGTTCATTGCGACATCACTTTCTTTATAGCTTGACAGATATATCGAACGAAATAGTCCGATGTAACGATTATACACATGTACAGACGCTTGCTGAAATGATATCAAACCACAGTCACATCTACATATAACTCTGTTATTTCAAATATATATATATCTAGTCGAAAAGGTGTTTAGATACATTAACATCATCATACATTTTTTCATCCTTATGTTATAGCGTCATATTCTGTTTCTCTTATCATATGAATATTACGCGAGATTATATTAGCTACAGCAGTTAGTATTTTCAGCCTCCTTTTTCCATTCTTGTGATTCCCTTTTATATTCCTCGTCTCAATGAATTTTTGTTACAAAAAGAATATTTCTATACAAGTATGTTATTTGTATCTGTACGTATGTGCGCAGATTTTTAAAAAAATTTAATGGGCAAATGAAATAAATTTTGATATATTAGATACAAAATCTTTTGAATCTGTTTTTTTTTCTTTTTTTTTTTTTGTAACAATATACGACATAAAGATAAATAACATTACAAATAAAAAGTAGACCAATTAAGATAAGTAAAAAAGTTTTTAATATAATTCTTTATCTTTATCTTACCAAGAATTAAACCTATCATATCATGCATAGATACGTGATGAAATATCGTCAATGAAATTTCACAAATCTTAGATCTCGCCCCGTTTTACCTTTGTACAACTTACTTAAAAAAAATTATCTGCTTTCTTATTATATATGAAAACAAAGTAGGATTAAATCGTGGAACATAAGACCCGGCAATTTGTTGATTAGTTTTGTGCACAGCCTGGGCGAGGGCACTAGACCAACGCGGGGTCACACCAAGTCTGCGAGCATCAGCGCAAGTCACCGTTCCTCAAGTGGCGTACCCCCCAGCGACCATTCACTGCTGGACCCTCAACCACGCAACGCCCACAACTCCTTACTCGCCACTGCTGACCCCCTTAGGCAGAGGTACAGGCCCCCGATGCCTAATACAAAGACCAAAAGACCTGCATATGTTTTCCTGCATATTTACTAAATATATATAATATATATATATATATTTCGGATACATTTGTTCTTTCATTTGATTATTTCTTTCTTGGGCCACTAACTCTCTTAGGGTAATTAGATCCTCCTATCACTATAGTCCTTCGCAAATACTGCCAGAGCGGGGATGACGAGAACTTCGTCTCTCAAAAGCTCAAAAACGACAGTATCAATCTCTCCGAATATTTGTATTTAAGAAATTATCAACATAGGATTCTCTAGGATAGTTTTTGGTCATTCTCTCATTGCTTTCGTATTCTCTCTTTTCATTGCTTTTTTTAATACTCTTTCTCTTCTTTATTTGCATGAGTTAGATTTCTACATCGGCTTTATTGCTTTTCTATTTTTTGTATATAAATCATTTAGATTTGATCATGATAAAACATTTCATTATGATTCATATTTCGACACCAACATTTCACTCATTTGAAAATTTTGTATGACTTTTGATTGATTAAGCTTAATATTTAGGGTATTATGATGATATTATAGGGGCATGATATCATAATTAATTTTAGAAAGGATATATTTTGTTTCTAAATTATAATTAATTTCATATATTTAAATTGACGTGTCTACTGTATTCTACATACATACACACACACACATATATATATATATATATATATATATATATATAATAA